GCCTTCAGAATTTCATTTTCATGAAAATTATGAGTGTGAGAAGGTGTTCCATAACCAAATTAGCCATTTAAAGAAATAGGAAACACTAAATATTTTCTGATGTTGCTGAAAAGTAATGAAAGATAAATACTCTGAGTTGTGATTTGGCTTAGGATTCTAAAAATTATAACTATCTCACTAGTGTTTCCTTATAAAATAAAATCAGTCTGAGAATTGGAAGGAGTCCATCATTAAGTAGCAGCTATTCTGACACTGTCTAAACCAATTCATCTTTAAATTATATTACGGCTATGGCATTTTAGGTAAGAAACTTAGAAATCTAAAACAGAACATAAATCAATGTTGTTTTACTCAGAGTAATATTTTCTTGACTGAGAAGGATTATATTTAGGGGTCTTGAACCATTCCTCCAGCTAAGAAAATGAATTTCAAAGTAAGGAAGTCTAATCTGTCTAATGAGCTGATTTTTATGTGGTATGCTTGGCAATACAAACTCAGGCATGAAAATATTCAATAATATTCTGAGAATTTAAAATGATCCTAGCAATTTGTTCTAGCAGATAGACTGGAAAGATACACTAAAAATCATCCTAGTTAGGGGTAAACATTTTGAAAACTCCTGTAGGCTTTTTAATGGTGAATATAGGTTATTTATATCATTGAATATGCAACTGCATAATGCTCTAATAAAAAGAAAATTTGCCATTAACTTTACAAATGGCAAATTTGTCTGTGGCAAATTGGGTACATGGAATTATATAATGAATAGGTTTGGGACAATACTTTTATAGGTACCCCTGAGGCTCTTTATGTTTTTCAAAATTGTCTATCTTGTCAGTAGCACACAGGAGGCTTGCTTTGTTTGGTAAATGTAAGTTTGACTAGTATACTTAATCAGTGACAGATCTTTTCCAAGGGCCATAAGCTTTCTTACCAGAAAGCATGATACTGAAATTCAATACAAGCCTGTGAACTTAGTTTTACATGTAGGCATCGGTCAGAGTGATGATGTGCTAAGGGCCTAGATACAGTGGACAGCTGGCAGCCACTTGCCAGCTGCTAGTGATCATTTTTGTACCCAAACAAGTGACAGAGACTAAACTCATGTTTTTGTCATTCAAAAAAGTAAAAGGACAAATTCAGAAATTTCTTTCCCACTCACAATTCATGGATGTACCACAGTTTAGGCATCTCTATATCCCTAAAAGTGAAGGAATTATAGTAAAGAAGAATATCAACTTATCTAGGGAAACTCCAAATGTCAGTGAAATTAAAAATAAGCAAAATAACAAGACATCCAGAATGGGTGATTCCAAGTGAAAAAAAAAAAAAATAGTGGAGAAAACCTATAACCAATTTGTGAATCAGTCTATCAATCAGTCAAGAGAGCACATAAACAATTATATTGTTTCCTTCACATTTACTTATTTTTTTCAATATTCAGTTATTCGTTCAACAATAATTCAACAGATATTCGTTACTACTCTACCATAAGTGAATCTTTTAGGGATTCAAAACAAACAATTTTTTTTTCTAACTAGAATACTCACAGTGTTGCCGGATTTCACATGGCTGTCACCTCTAGTTAACACAAATATGGAGAAAATACATCCAATCAATTTATTTTTTTTAATTATTGTGTGTGTGTGTGTGTGTGTGTGTGTGTGTATGTGTGTGTGTGTGGTGTGGTGTGTTTAATCCAGATAAAGAAATGATAGATAAATTCTTATTTGGCAAGAGAGAAAGAGCTCAAGAGCAACTTACCCTTTCTGAAATTCAATGTTGGATGTATTGGAGACTGTAACTAAATGTAAGGTAGGTTGCGTCTTCATAACATTTACAATATATTTAGTACAATGTAGTTACAAATGCAAAAAATTAGAAAATATACGATTAAGCACTAAAATTAGGTGAAGGACAATTAATGCTAAGATCAGACTTCATAAACAATACAGTGCATCCTAGAACAGACACAAACATTAGGAAAATAAAAACTAACCTATGATGTAGAGACAGAAATAAACAGCAAATATTTTGCCCTGAAAGTGTGTTCAACCACTCTCTAATTTTTGTATTAAGAAAATTTAGCACTGATAAAAATGATAAAGTATCATTAAGGATTAATTTAAAGAGAATGTCAAATTTATGAAAATACTTATAGACTCAGAGAATACCTAAGTATATAGCTTTGTCACCTGAGGGGGCCTAAGAGCAGTGACTCTAGTAGTAACAAGCACAAGTAATCTTGGTTTTAATACAATTCTCCAATAAAAAGAGCCAGAGCTCCTTGGAGAAGTAGTTTATTCTGTGACTGAGTCAGGAAATATAGTAGATAAACCTGTATCATCTTGTAGTGTGAGAAAGTAAGGAAATCCATTTGAAAAGAAAAAGAATGATGGGGGTGTATCAAAGAGACACAGAACAGAAGCCAAATGAAAATAATTCCTAATGGCTAAAGCTGGAATAATGTCAGCCATAATAAATAAAATAATAGTATTGGATTATATCCCAAAATATAAAATAGGTATCCATGTTCTCATACTGATATAATACAAGGTTGAATAAATAAATAATGGGAAAGAACTGATAAATCTCAAAAATAGAAGAATTTCAAACCAATGATGTAGATTCTCCATCCTCAGGAAGGTGAAGCATAACTCCCCGCTTCTTACATGTAGATCACATATTGATATTCTGTAGATGATTTTTGTTTTCTGTCAGATTTTGAAGAGTTTATTCTACTTTTAGTTTGCTCACTGTTTCTAGCATGTATGGATTTTTATTTTGTCAAATTTGCTATCTGTATCTATTTTAATTTTATGGTATTTATCTTTTATTATATCAAAATGTCAAATTACATAGATTGATTTACAGGTGCTAAAGTAACCTTACATTCTAGGGATAAATCTTACTTAGTAAATGTGTTTCTTCAAAATATTTTTATATTGCCTAATTTAATTAATATGCTGATATGTTTTTAAGTATTTTATGTAGATATTTATGATGGATATTGATGTGTAATTTTCTGTCATTATTCCTCTCTTTTTATTTTTTTAGTAGAATATCTTTTTCAGTTGAGATGTGTTCTCTCTTTTTTTTCCAACAAAGATTATATATGACATTCCTTATTTATGCCTTAGTCTTAATAGAATCACCAGTGAAACCATATGTACCTGGAGCTTTCCTTCTCAGAATGTCTTAAACAACAAATTTCATGTCTGTATTGAGATCATGCTATTCAGGAATTTAGGGTTATAACACACCAAATTACCTCAACCTGGTTCACTGATTATTTTGAGGAGATAATTCTTACTACCAGTGACTGATAATTGATACAGCAATGGATCTGTACAAGTAAATTTCCTAAAATAACTTTTATATTCTGTCAACTTCACAACCTTTTGTATATCTACTAATGATTCCTCTGGAATTTATTTCCCTTAGACCGGAATGCTCTCTTTCAGCATTTTTTTTTTCACAAAATTTATTACTTTTTGTCTATAAAGTATAAAAGCTTTTTGCTTTGATCATTTATTTGGGTGTTCACTCTTTTGTGAAGATGTATATGAAAAATTAATGCAACTTGCTTGCTTTTCTCCTGTTATCCTGTATCAATTTGTTTCTTTAAAAACTCTTATGGGTACAGGGGATATTTAGGCTCCCCTACACTATAAATGTATTTTGTATTTTATTCTATGCCAGGTTTTGCTAACTTGTAGTTTTTTAAAAATGTGTTTATCCTCTATGTTGGTGAATTTGTTTTTATAAAGTAGCTATCACAGAAATCTACTACTTTAATATCAGTCAGATCCATGAAGATATATCTTTACATTCTCATATCTTTTCTTCCTGACATTGGCAAATTACATACTGCTTTTTTTTTTTTTTTTTTTTTTTGGTTCACCTGCTTACATGTGTTTTTTCTTTTTAATTATCGTTATTAATTTTTCCAAAGAGGCAACTTTTGGCTTAATTGTCTCTATTAGTTGTCTCTTTTCTCTTGCTTCCAAGTTTTGGCTCACCTTCAGAATCTGTCAACTTTTGTATACTCTTAAATGTCATAAGTTAATTTGATTTTTGAATTTAGTCAAGCATTTATAATTGTTAAATACGGGAGAGTTGGGTCCAGCAGGATCTTAACCATATCAGAGTTGGAAGCCAAATGGTGGCATTTTGAAATAAAAACACACGCACACACACACATCTCATATTTAAAAGTATGAATTAAATCTACGCACCATGATAGTTTGTCTCTAACATAAGCCATGAAAGAGTATTCAAGAAAACATATACATGGCAGATAAACTTCATATTAAGTTTCCAGGTATGCTTTGTAATAGTTTCTTGCAGTTTAAATTTTTTGTGACACACAAGAAGAAATGTTTAAAATACTGTGTTATTTAAATATAATTCTTTTAGTGCACATGTATTAATGCACAATTGACAAACTAATGACAGTAAATAACTTTTAACATGTTTATTAAATAAAAATATTCTGAAATGCATTAAATAGTTAGAAAATGAGAGTAATGTGTTACTCCTCTCTGTGTAGCTCATATATATGAATTAATGATATTGATAGATGAATAAAGGTTAATTATCAGTTTTATTCACTATTTTGGTATATGTGGATGCAAAAGAAATAAACTATGTTCATATAATTAAGTAGATTGGAATTAAAAGTGTCGTTTTATAATGTTTATTATTTACTTCTTTTAATTTTTTGTTACATGCCAAAAATCATGTAAAATATAATATGAAATTGTAATTGTCATATTCTAATTTTGGTAAAATCTAAAACTTTGAATTCTCCCAGTTTCAAAAGATTTATTATCAAGTCATTGTTACAAAGTTATTGACTACTATCAAGCAAATGACTCTTTAAATTGAAGGCAGCTTTTTTAACCTAAAAATACTGTAAAATATTGTTATTTTAAATACTTCATCATAAATAATTTTATAAGATATATTTTATAAATGATTTCGGCTGCCGCGCGGGTGACGGCTGAGCGCGGCAGGAGTCATGGCTGCTCGCAGAGCTCTGCATTTCGTTTTCAAAGTGGGAAATCGCTTCCAGACGGCGCGTTTCTACCGGGACGTCCTGGGGATGAAGGTTCTGCGGCATGAGGAATTTGAAGAAGGCTGCAAAGCTGCCTGTAATGGGCCTTATGATGGGAAATGGAGTAAAACAATGGTGGGATTTGGGCCTGAGGATGACCATTTTGTTGCAGAACTGACTTAAAATTATGGCATCGGAGACTACAAGCTTGGCAATGACTTTATGGGTCTCACACTCGCTTCTAGCCAGGCTGTCAGCAATGCCAGGAAGCTGGGGTGGCCGCTGACAGAAGTTGCAGAAGGTGTTTTTGAAACCGAGGCCCCAGGAGGATATAAGTTCTATTTGCAGAATTGCAGCCCACCTCAGTCAGATCCTATAGTAAAAGTAACTCTAGCAGTGTCTGATCTTCAGAAGTCCTTGAACTACTGGTGTAATCTACTAGGCATGAAAATTTATGAAAAAGATTAAGAAAAGCAAAGGGCTTTGCTGGGCTATGCTGATAACCAGTGTAAGCTGGAGCTACAGGGCATGAAGGGTGTGGTGGACCATGCAGCAGCATTTGGAAGAATTGCCTTCTCTTGCCCCCAGAAAGAGTTACCAGGCTTAGAAGATTTGATGAAAAGGGAGAAGCAGAAGATTCTGACGCCCCTGGTGAGCCTGGATACCCCTGGGAAAGCAACAGTGCAGGTGGTCATTCTGGCCGACCCTGATGGACATGAAATTTGCTTTGTTGGGGATGAAGCATTTCGAGAACTTTCTAAGATGGATCCAGAGGGAAGCAGATTGTTGGATGATTCAATGGCAGCAGATAAAAGTGATGAGTTGTTTGCTAAACACAGTAAACCCAAAGCTTCAGGTTAATGGAAGCCATCTTGCAGAGCAAGCATTTGCGATTACCGCCCAGTACCTGTGAGGCCTGACCTGTCCGTTCCTGATAAATGCTCTTCTGATTTGTTTACCGTACAAGCAAGGAGGCTTTGTGTATTTTAGTGTTTGGAAGCTGTGGTATGTTTTAGAAATGAAATCCAATCATTAGTCCAGGTAGAGAATGCCTGTTGTAATCTGCACTGGTGCTGGAAGTGCACGTTCTCTATATAACTGTACTAGGTTAGTAATAGATTATTTTCCAGACTAGGATGGCCACATGAAACATGACTTCGCTTGGATTGCAGACGGTTAGGATGAACTCAGAATCATGTAGATTTGACGAGAGCAGCTATTCAGGAAATCCAAATTAATTGCTTGTGATGGTACAATTCCCAGCCCCTGATGATGATATACATGCCGTTCTAATATCTTACTATGGCAGGTTTTGACATTTTAAATTTTTTTAAAGAAATTTTATTCCTTGGCCGGGCACGGTGGCTCACGCCTGTAATCCCAGCACTTTGGGAGGCCAAAGCGGGTGGATCACAAGGTCAAGAGATCGAGACCATCCTGGTCAACGTGGTGAAATCCTGTCTCTACTAAAAATACAAAAAATCTGCTGGGCATGGTGGTGTGTGCCTGTAATCCCAGTTACGCAGGAGGCTGAGGCAGGAGAATTGCCTGAACCCAGGAGGCAGAGGTTGCGGTGAGCCGAGATCGCCATTGCACTCCAGCCTGGGTAACAAGAGCGAAACTCTGTCTCAGGAAGAAAAAAAAAAAAAAAAAAAGAAAGAAATTTTATTCCTTGGACCAAAAGATTTGGTTAACCACCCCCATCTTACTTGCTTTTACATTTTGAGTGTCCACAGAAAACAGACAGAAGGGATGGAGTCTGTTATGTTGCTGCTCACCTGCCTCTCTGCTAGCTTCTTTGTTTTTTTTTAATTGCATTTTAGGTTTTGGAGTAGATGTGAAGAACATGCAAGATTGTTGCTTAGGTACACACGTGGTAGTGTGATTTGCTGCCTTCCTCCCCTTCACCTATATCTGGCATTTCTCCCCATGCTATCTCACCCCAACCTGTGTCTATTTTTAATCCCAACAGAACATCTCGTGAGATTTCTTAAAAATGGATTAAACCATTTCTTCAGCCTGAAAAAAAGATTTTAAAAATGTTTCCTTGTAGCTTTTTTGGTTCTATACAACAAATAGGTTGTAATCACTGGAAATTATATTGTGTGTTCATTGAATAATTAAGTTTTTTTTGAAAGTTAAAAATAAATAAATAAATAAATGATTTCAATATAATTACCTTGAAATATTGTGGTTATAGGTTACCTCATTCAATTCATTGAAAATTACAGCACAAAATTTAGTTGTGAAAGGTATATTTTCTTGCCAAAAAGCAAAAATATACCTTACTTTTCATTAGAAAATATATCATTTTATTATTTGCTTCAACATTATAATACTCATTTTTAATAACAACCATTTTACTTTTCAATTCTAATTCTAAGAATATATCACCATGAATTTAATATACAGATAAAACTTTATCATGGGCCAATATACTTTGATTTTAATATGAGGTTTAGTCTTTAGAAACTGAAAGATAAAAAGCTCCCTTGATTATTTAATATGTTCTTTGATTAAAGAAGTCTTTACTCACATAAAGATTGACTTTTAATTTGCTCCTTGGTTTGCGGCCTTCAAAAACAGAGAAACACATTATAATAAAGCTCATTTAATTGAGAGCTATAGATCTTTCTTCTACACAGTAGGGTGGCATAGTTGTGAAAGCTGAGGTGAGAAAAGAGACTGTGCATGGTCTCTCAACTGAAAACACATTTTCAGGCCTGTGCATTTCACGTCTAATACAACTTGGAATCGATCAGCTAGAAACTCATTACTTTAATAATCTATACCTATGGGCTTCTTGAAAAGTTTTGTTTCAGGGCCATATACTCTACCTAAGAAACATTCTTAGTCTTGATAAAAATAGCATAACTTTGGTCTCATCTAAGCTACCATTGACTTTCTTCAAAGAATTATAAAAAACTACTTTAAATTTCATATGAAACCAAAACAAAACCTGTATAGCTAAGAGAATCCTAAGCAAAAAGAACAAAACTGGAGGCATCATGCTAATTGACTTCAACTATACTGCAAGGCTACAGTAACCAAAACAGCATGGTGTTGATACCAAAACAGACATAGATCAATGGTACAGAACAGAGGCCTCAGGAATAACTCCACAAATCTACAACAATCTAACGTTTGACAAACCTGACAAAACAAGCAATGGAAAAAGGATTCCCTATTTAATAAATAGTGTTGGGAAACCAGACTAGCCATGTACAGAAAACTGAAACCGGATCCCTTCCTTACATGGTATACAAAAATTAATTCAAGATGGATTAACGACTTAAAGGTAAGACCTAAAATCATAAAAACCCTAGAAAAAAACCTAGGCAATTGCATTTTGGACATAGGCATGGGCAAAGACTTCATGACTGAAACACCAAAAGCAATGACCAAAAAAAAAAAAAAAAGCCAAAATTAGCAAATGAGACCTAATTAAACTAAAGAGCTTCTTCAGAGCAAAAGAAGTTATCATCGGAATGAACAGGCAACCTACAGAATGGGGAAACATTTTTGCAATCTTTTCATCTGACAAAGGGCTAAGATCCAGAATCTACAAGGAACTTAACAAAATTTACAGGAAAAAAAAAACAAACAGCCCCAGCGAAAAGTGGGTGAAGGATATGAATAAAATTTCTCAAAAGTAGACATTGATGTGGCCAATAAACCTGTGAAGAAAAGCCAATCATCACATCATTAGAGAAATGCAAATCAAAACCACAATGAGGTATGAGATACTATCTCATGCCAGTTAGAATGGCAGTCATTAAAAAGACAACAAACAACAGATGCTGGAGAGGATGTGGAGAAATAGGAATGCTTTTACCCTGTTGGTGAAAGTGAAACTTAGTTCAACCATTGTGGAAGACAGTGTGGTGATTTCTCAAGTATCTAGGACCAGAAATACCTTTTGATCCATCAATCCTATTATTGAGTATATACCCAATGGATTATAAATCATTCTATTATAAAGACACAGGCACACATATGTTTATTGCAGCACTGTTCACAATAGCAAAGACTTGGAACCAACCCAAGTGCCCATCAATGATAGACTGGATAAAGAAAATTTGGCACATATACACAATAGAATACTATGCAGCCATAAAGAAAATGAGTTATTTCCTTTGCAGGGACATGGATGAAGCTGGAAACCATCCTTGTCAGCAAACTAACACAGGAACAGAAAATCAAACACCACATGTTTTCACTCATAAGTGGGAGTGAACAATGAGAACATAAACACACAGGAAGAGGAACATCACACACCAGGGCCTGTCAGGGGGTGGGGGGATAAAGAAAATTTGGCACATATACACCATGGAATATTATGCAGCCATAAAGAAGATGAGTTCGTTCCTTTGCGGGGACATGGATGAAGCTAGAAATCATCCTTGTCAGCAAACTAACACAGGAACAGAAAACCAAACACCACATGTTCTCACTCATAAGTGGGCATGAATGATGAGAACATAAACACACAGGGAGAGGAGCATCACACACCAGGGCCTGTCAGGGGGTGGGGGGCTAAGGGAGGGATAGAGTTTAGAGAAATACCTCATGTAGATGATAGGTTGATGAGTGTTGCAAACCACCATGGCACATTTATACCTGTGTAGCAAACCTGCATGTTCTGCACATATATTTCAGAACTTAAAGTATATTTAAACAATAATAAATAAAATACAAAAATAAAAATAGCAGCCAGGCACAGTGGCTTACACCTGTAATCCCAGCACTTTGGGAGTCTGAGATGGGTGGATCATAAGGTCAAGAGATTGAGACCATCCTGGCCAACATAGTGAAACCCCGTCTCTACTGAAATATAAAAATTAGCTGGGTGTGATGACACACATCTGTAGTCCCAGCTACTAGGGAGGCTAAGGCAGGAAAATTGCTTGAACCCATGAAGCAGAGGTTGCAGTGAGCTGAGATCGCACCACTGCACTGTAGCCTGGTGCCTGGCAAGAGAGCAAGACTATGTCTCAAAAAAATGAATCAATTAAATTAAATTAAAATAGCATAGCTGAAGCACATGAGCTTTTATAAATTTGAAAATACTAGAAAAACAAAAAATAATAAGGACATGACTAGATAGAATTAAGGACACTTTTTGATACAAATCAGAAACATGTATCTCTCTACATATACATATAGTTATTATATATATGATATACACGTATTTATTTTATATATAATTACTAGTGATGCTTTAACACTTGTTATGTTTATCAGCCTATCAGACATTTAAAGAGTTTCTTTTACAAAACTTCTATATGTTTTTGTTCATTTTTCTATTCAGTTTTCTGTATCTTATTGATTTATAGGAACACTTTATATATTCTAGACAGAAGCTTTTGAGAGTTATATATGCTGGCAAATATCTTGCATCACATTGCAGCCTGTCTTTTTATCACTTAAGAAAGAAAACACCCTCTTACCATTTTCCCCATCTATGTTAAACCAGGGAAATAGTTTATCTTTTATTTTTGTACTGATTAAGTTAAGCTTTTGGCAAAAAAGGACACAAATAAGACAAGTCTCTTTTTAATGTATAGTTTTTATATCACAGCCTTTAATTCCCGTATTTAATCTTCAGGCCTCTTAGGCAGAATTTTATTTTTTCTACAGCTAAAACTTGCAAGAATCTTGTCAAACATTTAGTACTCAGGAGAGGGCCATGAGATATATTGTAAGAGCTTGTCCCTCTATTAATGAAAATACTACCAAATATAAAGAAACTTACAATTCATTTTGTTTTTGCTGAAATTGTGTCCTTTTTCCATGAAAGACAAATTTCATAATAAGTGCCCAGATATGCCTTGCCATACCTCTTTGCAGTTCAAATTTTCTGTGACACACAAAAACAAATGTTTAAAATTGAGTTGAATTTATCTAAAAGGGGTAAATGAGTCACAGCAAATGTATGCATTTTTCAGTTAAATACTCTCTGCATGGCTGCTTAAACAATTCTCTTTTTCTCCAAATAGATTCATAATCATGACTGAAATT